GAGTGCCAATCCTGGATTGGCCAGTAACCAGATGTATGCTTTTGAGCAAGCAACTTCATTTGTAAAAACGAAAATCATATTACATTATTTCTAAAGTTACTTTCAGCTCTAACATTCCATGATTGAATAATTATCATTTCTTTGAAAAAAAAATCAAGGCAATTCCAAGATGACATTATGAAAAAAGAAGAATACTGGACTAGGTTTACTATAGAAAGATCTCAGCCAACACTATGACTTCAAAAATGACTTTAAGATCATCAAACAAGCTGCAAGAAATGGTGGAGAAATCCAAAATCTGACAATAATAAATGATAAACAGATAAAAAAAAAACTATTATTTTATACAGGAAAACAAACCACACAATAACAACAAAAAAAGCAGTTTCTCCATCAAAAGATTTTCTCCATCAAAATGGGTAGGACTACATATTGGATAATTTGTTACTATTTGGATGATGTCATCATCCTAGGTTTAACTGCTTTTAATAACTAGTACATTTCAGTCATCTCTCACTTTCTCCCACATAAGATCAAATCAGCCTTTCAATGACCTACTTCATGAGTCATAATTTTTCTGTTTATGATTCAGAAAAAAGTCTTCAGTCAGTATTTCCCAGACTGCTGTGGGTTTATTCCAAGAACCAATTTCATCTTCATTGGTTTCCTACAGGAAACCAGACCAACTTCCTATTATTTTATTTTCCTTACTTTTAGCATACCATAGCCCACATCAAGTTAACTGGAATTGAGAGTGATAGAAGACATTTTTCTGCACAAAGGGAAGCCAACATAAACAATATCCAGTTTAGAAGTCACAGATTCAAAATTAAATACAAATTGTGCTAATATTAGAACCTTTTTTCAAAAGAACACCAAATAATAAGAAATCTAATTTAATTAATTTGATTGCAAGTATGCCACTGTCAGAAAAACTTTTTAAAAAATCAATTATATTTAAATACAATAAATTCTGTAAAGCTGATTAATACAGAGAAATTATTATTCATAAGGAAGAAAATATGTATTTTCCATCCAAAACCACTAACAAGCTACTAGGAAAATGGCAGACAACTGAAACCCAATATGCAGAGTGTTGGAGCAGTCAAGGAACAGAGAAGTATGCCCCCCAGCAACCTGGAAGGTGAGCAGCCTGTTACCATGAGGTACCATCATCCCAGCCCCTTCTCCTCCCACACCCACTCACCATAACTAAGCACCAACTGTCCTTAGATCACAGCATAAACAGTGGTATGGAACAAGGGATTTTAAAGTACATTCTAACAGAGGCTTGTCCTCATACTATTTCTCTAAAACACAGAAGTACCAAAGACGTATTTACTCTCACAGATTACACACTGCTCGGAAAAAGATTCTGAATGTGAAGTACATTAGCATAAACATATATCAGATTCCCCTCAGACTTTTTCCATTCTTGCCACTTCTGACTGCAGATGTAGTTTTGGGCTTTACTTGGCAAGTAACAGGACTATTTTAACAACAAACTCAAAAGTTGATACGTTAGAGGAGAAAGTCTAAGAAGAATGCATTTAAGGCACATATTCTACATGTGTAAACCAAGAAACTTGAAACACTAGAGCAAGGGTTTTCAAGGTGTAGTCCCAGACAAGGGTCAGCATCATCTGGACACATCCCAGAAATGAAAGTTCTCAGAGCCCACCCTAGACCTAAGGAATCAGAGATTCTGAAGAGGGGTCCAGCAACCAGCAGGTGATATTGATGCAAGCTGTTGATCTTTCATCCTTCCACCAGATAATTTCCAGAAAAGAGTCCATTCAATTTGCATTTATTTTGTAATCTCTTAAGTGCTTAACCCCCTGCACTCTGGCTAACTGTCACAACATCAAAATCTTCTTTTTAAAAGCCACAAATCACCTCCAGCCTAACTGTCCAAGCCAGTGACCTTTTCCTGGTCCTCATTCTCTAGCCTCATCCTCTCCTGCTTGAAATGACTAATTTCTTGACTTCCATGACACACTTCTATGTTCTGCCTCTCTATCTCCTTTCCTCCTTCATCAGCCCTGCTCTTCCTCCTCCTACCCTCTCACTATAGGCATGTTCCCAAGGTTCAATCGTCAATCTTTTGCCCCTCTTTCTCCGGATGCTACTTGGAATCGTAAGGACTCCAAGAGCTAAATTCACACCTCTGCACCTGCAATTCTCTCAAACTTCACAACATGTTTTAAGCTACTTCATGTCCTGCTTCACCTGAATATCCTTCGAGTACTACCAGTAAAACATCTCCAAAAGGGAGCTTCTCATTTCCACCCCCACCCCCAACTCCAACAGTTCCTCCTTGACTGCCTGTTTCTAGTATTGGGTTCACCGACTGTCTGGTTCCCTAAGCCCTGGAACTTCAGTATTCCCTCTTCCCTGGTGACCATGCCTAATGTGCAGAGGAGTCAGCCCCAAAAGGTATCCTGTTTTGGCCTCCTCCTCCCCATTTCTAGTGCCACGATCCTCGTCTAACAACTTCCTATATGCTCAAGTCCTGCCTCTAGACTTTACCTCTAAAAGTCATCATTGAATACATTTCTTCCCTATTCAAAATATGGAGAGCTGCCCAGATGCAGCTCAGCTTCCTACCTAGCTTCATCTCACATTTCTCCTCATATTCTTTCTGCACAGCTAACACAGAATGCTTCTCATCCTGCAAACATGTCCCAAGTTTTCTTACTTCTAAGTCATTGCTTTCTATTATTACCTCCATTTCAATTAGCAGCTTCCCCTTACATCTGCAAATGCCCTCTTTCAGCTTCAAGATCAGGGCTAGTGTCAACTCCTTGCACCATACATAATCCCCTCAGTGGAAGTTCTCTCTCACCCTTCTCTAAAGACTCAAAGACATTTGCCTAGATCATCCCTACAAAATTAAATTCCCACCCCTAGCAGAAGTGGGTTTGATATATCTTTTTGTCCTCCACCATACCATGCATGACACCTAGTACCAGGTATGTACTCAAGAAATATCTGTCGAAGGATTAAATGACTTTCCAAAATAAAATTGTTATTTTAATGGAGCATCATTCCTGCCACTGAACTGACCTTTAGAAGCAGCAGCCAAAGTAAAATAAAAACAGATAAATTTCACGTACACAGCAACTTAGAAAGAATCAATTCAATCTCCTATACTTTCTATTATTTCCAGTACAACCACTCTAAAATGATAACCAAACACTATCATGTACACGGCAACTAAGAAAAATACAACATATTTTTTAAACTACAAATATGTTTTGGAAAAAAGAAATGACCAACCCCTTCAATACTAAAATGACAGGGTGCAGGCCTTCTATAAATAAACCTTTATAAAATTTCCTGCATCTTCCGACCATACCAGTCTGTAGCTTCTAGAGGTGATAAACTATCTATAATCACAAAGGAAACTTCTTAATCTAAAGGAAATTAAATAACAGAGCATTTGTTCCAAAACATTTTGTTTTGTCTGGAAGATACTCTCACAGCTAGTCAGGAAGGTTAAGAAGCAGCCAGATGAATTATAATGTGAAAGACAGACTGACTGCCTCAATTAGGAAAAATAAAGTCTTTATTTCTGGAATGGTAGAGAGTCACTACTTCCCTATAAAAAAGAGGAGATATAATCTCTCAAGTAAAGTATGCAAAGAGGCCCTTCAAAATGGGAAAACACATTGGGAATCATAGAAAAACAGCACTGTTCTAACCTAAAGACCTTGATACCTTTCACAGACCAAATTTCAAGCCTACATACAGAACAGAATCATCATAGATTAAGAAAGAAAAAAATGATTTTTCCTAGACAGCACAGGCAGATATGAGGTATCTTCATTGATCAATATATGGTCATCCTTCAAGGTTAACGTTTGGAGAAAAATATATAATATTATGAGGACTGATATTCAATTTTTAAATTTGCTATCAATTATAAAACTGGGCTTATTGCTATGTTTCTCTCACTATGTTCTCCACTTGGTTTCATTTGCTCTAGTTCATGATTTCTTCCCTAAATTAGCAAAGGTATTAATATATAAAACAGGCACACATATTCCATTCTGTACAAAGTTGGGGATATGGAGAAATAGCAAATCACCTAAATACTTTCTGAATAAGACACCTATATTTGTTCATTAAACAGCAAAAACTGCTCTTAAATTTTCTGAGTTTTTTGGGGGGAGTGCTTTTTAAACTTACAGTTACTTGCTTTTATTTCTAAGCTCCACTAACCATCTTGACTAAGATTCTAAATAGAACTCATATCATCCACAGCTTCAGATCACTCCTCAAGTGAACAGTAGGACACAGAAACAAAAACTTGAGTTAAGCAGATCACTAGAACCCTGGGGATGGTCCCCTTGGGTCACTGCGATCCATTTCGGAAAGAGAAACTAAAGTGAGGGGGGCTACCAGAGAATCTGAATAATATATATAATATATATATATACACACTCACATACACACACATCAACATTCGCTGTATCACACGGAGGAGGAAAGAGGCTAAAGAGAACTTTTCTTACAATGATTTTTACAACTCACAAAAAAAGTTAATTCAGCTAAATTTTAACATATTATTGGGACTCAAAAAATATTCTTTCAGCCAGTAATGTAGCCACTACCAAGAATTAATATTAAAACAGAGGTTTTACTGAGTTGCATCTTCCAATATTTTAACAAAACATTTCATTCACAATCTGATTTGAAATGGCAGAAAATACATCCAAGAGGGGCTCGTGACTATGGGGAACAACCCAAAATTAGCAAATACTGCTATTTTAATATTAGTGGTAAGATTTTATTATATTGTTCAATAACAGAGAAAATACACTTTTTAAAAAATCTAGTATTTCCATTTGAATTAATATTTAAACTAACACTGAAGATTAAACTTGGAGACTAGGACCAGTGGTTATACTAATGTACTGAGAAGCAACAGACACAAGTAAAATACAGAATGCTGTAGGAACACAGCCAGAGAAATCACGACCATGAAAATGGCTTACTTTAACATGGCTCTGGGCTCCCAGGTTGTAGATCTCTGTAGGCTTTACTTCATTAATGATCTTCACAAGGCAGGTACTGTCGGTGAGATCACCATAATGCAATTTCATGTCTTTAGAATTCAAAAACATACCATTAGATAGAAGAAAACAATGTAAGCTCAGTTCTTTAAAATACTGAAATTGAAATGCATATTTTGAAAGTGTGAAAAACCAGGGTCAAAATAGAAATGTTATATTTAATGGTTCTAAAATGGAAGAGTATAACTGTCATCTTTAAATAACCTAATAGTAGAAAGATATTATATATGCTGCCTATATCTATAAAGGATTTGTGGGGATAAACTCAGATGAACTTTTTAGAAAGCATAATAACATGATAGATGTTATATATTTAAATCTTAGGGCTCCAGATGGTTATAAAATATGTTAAGAGTGAGATTCAGAAAAAGAAAACCTTACAATAATGTGTATGCCACCTAAAGAAATCTATAACATTCTGGTGATGGTGAAGATAGCTCTGTATTTCTTCAGATACTTTTATCTGGCAATTTTTAAGTACCATATAAACATCAAACCTTAAACCACCCATGAAATACCTGATGTAGTATTGTAATTGATTAAAGGACAACTAGCCTATTCCAACTCCTAAATCTAAGCAGATCCTTACAATGACTTCATTAGTGTAAGAATTTGATACATGTGAATGGTTGATTTGCTAACTTGATAGTTCCCTTATTTTTACAAAATACTGATCCAATGGCAGTACTGTTCTACACTCTGCACAAAAAATAATAATTTTAAGGGATGATGCACATAATAACTTGAATATTAAGATGGAAACCCTTTTCTTTGGGACAACTAGATTATCTTCCTGATAACATCACCACCTTTACAAGTAATCCAAATTTTCAAACATTCAAGAGTGATCCATATCTCTCACCACCCACAAAAATTAATTCAAGATGGACGAAAGACTTAAATGTAAGGCATGAAACCTAAGAACTCCAGAAGAAAATGCTGGAAAAACTCTTTAAGATATTGGCTTAGGCAAAGAATTTATGAAGAAGACCCCAATGGCAATCACAGCAATAATAAAAATAAATAAATGGGCTTGATTAAATTAAAAAGTTTCTACACAGCTAGGGAAATAATCAACAGAGCAAACAGACAACCTAAAGAATGGAAGAAAATACTCATAAGCTATACATCTATTAAAGGGCTAATAACCAAAATCTACAAAGAACTCGAACAAATCAGCAAGAAATCATCAAACAACCCCATTAAAAAGTAGGCAAAACATATGATCAGGAGCTTTTCAAAAGAAGATAGACAAATGGCCAAGAAACATATGAAAAAACTGCTCAGCATCACTAATCATCAGGGAAATGCAAATTAAAGCCCCAATGAGATATCACTTTATGCCAGTTAGAATGGCTTTTATGAAAAAGTCCAAAAACAATAGATGCTGGTGTGGCTGCAAAGAGAAAGGAACACATACATTGTTGGTGGGACTGCAAATTAGTACAAACTCTATAGAAAACAGTATGGAGATTCTGCAAAGAATTAAAAGTAGATCTACCATTTGATTCAGCAAGGCAACTACTGGGTATTTATTCCAAAGGAAGTCATTTTATCAAAAAGACACCTGCACACAAATGTTTATTGCAGCACAATTCACAATTGCAAAGATCCGTAATCAATTCAAGTGCCCATTAATTCATGACTGGATTAACAAAATGTATTATATGTATACTATGCAGCCATGAAGAAGGATGAAATAAGGCCTTTTGCAACAATTGGATGAAACTTGAGATGGTTATCCTAAGTAAAGTATCTATACAATGGAAAAACAAACACCACATGTACTAGCTATTAAACTGGAACTAACCAATGAGCACACATGTGCACGGAAGGAAGTAAAACTCAAGCAGGGGAGAGGGGGAGGAGGGGAGGGACGAAAACCTACCTAACGGGTACAGTGAACACTATCTGGGTGATGGACACACTTATAACCCCTGACTCAAGCATAACAAAATTGATAAATATAATCGAAAACATTTGTACTCCCATATTTTTAAATAAAAAATTAATTAATTAATTTAAAATACTCAGGGGCTCAGAGGTAAATACAAAAGGTTTACAAGTTGAATGTATCATCCTCACTGGCTAGAAAAAATGGTCACATAATGCAAACTGAACTTGGAGTTAAAAGCTCTGTGTCCTAATCCCAGCCCTGCCATTTTCATGGTGGGTGACCTCAATAAAGTCACAACCTCTCTCTGTCTCCCTTTCCTCATCTATAAAATTGTCCCCTAGAATCCTCAGGAGTTGCTATAAAGATCCAATGAGAAAAACTGTGATTATGCTATGTAAACTGTACACCACACACAGGCAAATTTATTAACAAAATTAACAAAACAACTGCAAATACTGATAATGATCAGTAAAGTAATTTAAATATAATTTTGATTGCCAACTTTTTTTGGACTTCTCTTCACAAATTATTTTTAAAATGTACAAAGATTGTTTAATTAAATGCACAAAAACTGTTTAACTTGATTAAATCAGACAACATAAAAAGCTGAGGGACACTGTCAGTATGGAACTGTTCTTACTTAAGGGGACAGGGATACCTGCAGTGAGTCATCAAAGGCTCTTTCTTCCTCTCTTGGTCTCTCCAAGCCACTCACCCGATATCTTTCTAAAAGCCAAACCAAGATGACACTACAGCCTAGGACAGCAAGCAATGAAGGGTTGCAAAGCATGCAAATTGTATTCAATGCACTAATTCAAGGGTAAACAATTGTGACTCAATGGGCTTTAGGGAAAGTGACATTTGAAAACATCTTATCTGAAGATAGGAAGTGATAGAAAAAGATTTTAGAAAAAGAAAATGACTTACTTCCTTCAATGTGAGCCTGGGGATTCTTATATAGATGTTCAATTCGACCTGTATTGAAAGAACTGGATCGTCGTACAATTCCATGGACCTGCATTTTTACAGTGTGGAAAAATAAAAGTAAATAATAAAGGTGCAATGAGGATTAATAAGTAACTTAGAAGTTCTTTAATGTTTAGCTTTATGAAAAAAGTATAAATATTATTTTAAATTATTAGAAATAGTTCCACTGCTTTCTTTTCCCCCAACCACTGCTCACCAGCTACCAACACTCAACCTCCATCTTTCTCCAGTGGTTTTACCGCCAATCTCAACAAAGTAATTAGATAATTATGTGACTTAGTTGTAGATACTCAAATTATCTCCTTTTCTAAACACACACACTTATAATCTAACTGATGACAAAAATATCTCTTCCATTTGAAACTGAAGACAGATTATGTGAGGCTGTATCAGTAAAACAGCTTGTGGCCTGTTTAACACAGAGCATGAGGTCATCACATCTTACCAGTATCCTCAGAGGTATAGCACTTTTTATCTATTCTATATATTTCTGGAGCCATCAGTATTGTCAGAGAGCAGTTTCTATTATGCAGCTGCATGGAAAAGTCAGAAAGCTCAATAGTATGAGTTAGAGATGAGATTTATGTATTACTGAATTTAACATAAAGAAAACTCAAATGAAGAGAGGATTTTTAAAATAATTTTTATGTTGACTTCACCATGGTTAAGTATGAAGGGGAAAAAGTTGTTGGGACAGGAATGCATACCTGTCTGATATTGAAGAAAAGATCATTTGTGTCAGATACGTAAGAGAAATTGTTCCAGACCTAGTCACACTTCCTTCTTGTGTCAAGATTACTCCCTTTGTGCTGCCAATGCTAACACCAGCTTAAGTCACCAGCTGTCCAAGTTCCAGTTCTACTGGTGGCAGTTTTAATCCTTGACTTATTTTAGAAGTGTTCCTTCTAATGTTGGATAGGTTCATTTGCAGCTGAATACACTTCTATATTTTAACTCAATCGTTTTCTGTCTATTTCAAACCAAAATTAATCTTTGGCATGACTCAAATATTCCGAATGCAATGAGGAAATTATAAGCACATAAGACTTTCTTTCAAACAGAAAAAAATATCATCACCATTTTATATGGCATACATGAGAAACTGACTTCTGCAAAGGATACGACATGCCCACATTTAGTAATTCTGTTGGTTAGTTGCTTTAGCCAACAAGAAAAGCACTCATGGACACTTTTCCAAAAGAACGAAACCCAAGAAAAGTTGGTAAACATGAAAGTATTTTAAGAAGGGAATATGCAAACTGGTTGACATTTTAGGAGGCAAACATTAAATAAAATCTAGGAAACGTTAAATTGAGATTTGGCTATACATATCCATTTCTTAATTTAGAAATGGAGAAAACAACACTAATATTAAGCTTAGAGTTTATTCTACTTCCTGAGCTCCAATATTGCAAGTTGTTAACTTAATTGTAAAGTTGAAATGTTCTACAAACTTTATTTTGTTTAATAAAAAGCAATTTGACATATATACTTATATATATATAGCAAAATTGGCATTACTACCAAAGTTATTTCTAAAATACAGATTTATTAGATGTAAATACTTTGTTTCATTGAATAAAAAAGAATTTCTATGCTCTAAAAACAGATAATTAACTTTTGACAATGAAAAGAATAATATTGTTTAAGCTATCTTCTCTTGATTGCTGAATTCTGGGGAAGTCACAAAATATTGCAACAGCCCATCTAAACATAAAAGGCTTTGATAAAAATATTAAATGATCTTGATTGAGTCAGTGTGAAAAGCAGACAACCACAGAATAATAAGACTTTATTGTCACACTTAGAATCAAAAGCATTAAGTACTAACTGCTTTTTTTAATTTAAAAAAAAAGTATTTTAATTTCCCCTAATTCCCAACTTTTGGTATGTGTATACAGGGAAAGAAAGATCTGCCAAATGCTTAATCCATGACAGCAGATATTATTCTAAGAGTTATATGAAAGCTGAGTCTGTCTCCTTTTGAAACAGGTGAAATACAAACTTTAAAATAAGCCAAAATGTGTGCAAACTGCATAATCTAGTTAAGAATTTGAGATTAGCAGCTTTCTCTTTACAGAAGGGAGGTGGGCAGGGCTCCTTTGTTTGTTTTTATAAGGATTGGGGAGAAAAAGAGATGAAGGGTTAGGAAACCAAACAGAAAAGATAAGTTAAGTTGAATCTGACTTTATAAATTGCTATTAAATATAGTAGTTCAAGACCAAATATAATTCTGAAAAACTGAGGTCTTAATAAACGAAGGCGGTTTTTGATAAATTTCATGTTCCATTTAACCAGGTGATGAAAAGGAAAATTTCAAGTTTTCTTAATGTCAAAACAAAGTTGATTTGATTTCAAAACCTAGAATCAGATTAGGCAATATAACAAAAATGATTTATTATTTATTACGATCAAGAAAATGGAAAATTATTACCACTGGATTTAAAATTCTTTAGTGTCTAGATTTCTCTTGAAGGCAAGGATGCCTCCATGACATGGTTGATGCCACTCTCTTTTTGAAAAGTATAGATTATCTAGATAATATTAATTGCCAACATTTACACATCAGTGACCACATACAAGACACCATTCTTTGTACATATTAAATCACTTCATCTCACAACAACCTTACTATTACTTTTACCTTACTGTTACTATTATCTTATTATTTCCATTCTACAGATGAGGACACTGCCTGAGATCAAACAGCTAGGAAGTGGTAGCATTAAAGGACAGACTTGGTCGAGTCCGGTAACACTCTACTGAGTTGTTGTTTCAAAATGAAATCCATAAAAAGCTTTGTCTTTTTTAAAATCAAAGCATAAGGCTTCTGAGATAAGAAAAAAAAATATTTCAAGGATTCTCATAGATCAAGAAAAAGTGTAGGAACTCCATGTTCTAACAAATAATTTCCCAGAGATAACAATTGGACAATCATTAGCTATCCCATTTCTTTTCTATTCTGACAATTCACTTCAGAGCTGGTGATTATATAGTTCCTTTCCTGGAAGGAAAACCCACAATTTACCTATTTTTTTTTTATTTTAAAGTCTGATACGCTGTGTTGTAGTTTTACCAAGTTATTTAATATAGATTTTTCATATATTCCCAGATTTTAGCTTTTAAAAGGTTCAACTTTGTCTTTTATTTCTCTGGTTTTCCTCTGTACTCAATGCAAAATGGGTACAAAAGTATGTTGTCGGCTTATATGCTAACAAAGAACTGGGAAGGCACTTAAAACTATTAATAGAATGTGCTTTCATAAAAAGCTTCACTTCTGTCCATTTTCCTTTTTCTCATATGAGGGAGAAAGAACGAACTTAGTTCTAGCGTCCTCAGCAACAGACCACGCCTGCTATTCAGTAAGGCTAATTAATGAATTAGACTAAGCAGCCTTCTGCAAGACCCATGTCCACTAGCTTGTCCACATCAGACACTGTGTCACTCTGCCACTCTTGATCAGTAAGTCTCATGAATTCCACAGAGTTCCACTGGGCTGTTTCCCACGTATTGTTTTATCTAATCTTCACAACCACCTCAGGATATAGGTGTGCTTATCATCTCCATTTACAGAACAAGAAATTAAGTCTCAGAGGGGTCAAGTGACATGTCCAAGATCACAAAGCCAGAAAGTGGCAGAGGAGGATTAAGACACAGCTACCCAGCACCCGAGTTAAGGGCTCCCTTGCCACAACAAGCTGGACCACCTTGTCCACCCACTTGTCTGCACTGCTCAACAGGGTATAAAGGAGAACGATCCTTTGCACTTCAGCAATGTGTAGAATTAAGTATACAAAGTGTTTAAATGGTGACTTTCCATAAAACCCGAATATTCTTGGTTTTCCTCATCATGAGATGGCATTTCTAGGTACTCAATTAACAATGAGCAAGTGTTAGATCCATTCTTGTTATACTCTACTAAATGTTTAATTCTGAGCATAATTCATGAAAAAAAACCCATTAAAAACTGTCATTATAAACCTTTGAGTCTCTTCTCAATGAGAACTGGAACAGGGATAAAGCAATCCTTTACTTTTTCACTTTAAATGGTTCATTCAAAGCATGATTAGGTATATGGATTTCAGTAGCCACATTTGATGCCAGGCCCCACAGCTTCAGGAATCTAAAAGCGTGTGAGGTCATTACAAGGGAATTAACCATAACTAATCAGTATAGTAGTATCTTCTATTCCTTTTCAAGTCATCCACAAATACTTTTGCTTTGTTAGCTAAGCTTTTTGGACTTTTATTTTGCTTCTTTGACTACAGAAAATGTAAAGCACTGTCTCACTGTGTGACACTAATTCTGCACACAGGGTCTGTTTCTGCCCATGCCATCCCTCATCATGATCCCACCAGCCTGGCTCCACTCTCCATGTATTAATCATCAATGCTTCCCCAGCCTCAACAAAAGGCTGACCTTGCCACTGCTAGCCAATCAAAGTTTGTTCTTTCTCTTCTGAGAAGAACAGCTCAGAGTCAGCATCAAGCCTCTTCTTCACAGTGTTTATTTGTTCCTGGCTTACACTTTTCTACTCCAAAGTATGTTGTTTTCAGTTGTCCCTGACCTTTCTGATATGCCTTATACAAAGACTAGATTCAAAACATGATAACTGGAAGAAGCAAAGCCCCACAAATTTAAAATTTAAAATACCTTAGGGTACCTTGTCCATCTTTACCATATGATTAAATCTGTCACCTGATCCCATTTGGACTCTAGTTGCAGTGGTTCTCTATCTGGCAAACTGTATCAGCAACGCCTGGGGACATTAGAAAGGACAATGCCCAGACCTCTGAATCAGCCTTCTATGTCTTAACGGGGCCTCTAAGATTGTGATGTACATTAAAGGCTGAGAACCTGCTGAGGCAGAAGTCTGCACCCAGCCCAAACTGCGGTCATCGACTCTCTGAGTTCAGGTGTGTACAAGTATGTACCTCTCCCAGCTCGCTTCATGCACTCTACCAACCTTGTTCTTTTACTCATGGTCTTGAGTAACCAGGGACTGTGGTAGATGACTCTAGAAATTTCCCAATGCAGCCAATCTGAAAAATCACTCTAACATTTACTTTCATCTAAACACCAAAAGATAAAGCCTGTGCCACCACTGCATTCCTCCTACTGGCTTATTCTCCAATTATATCAATGTCTTAACAATGAGGACAGCAGCCTATTAAAACTGAATACAATGCAGATAAACACACTGTCACTCCCACTATATGTAGAGAGCTCACATTTCCCCTGTACTATGAGGACTCATTTCTGCTTATGCTCTGCAGCTGTGTACCTTCCCCCTATATTGTCAGTCATGTTTCCCTCTAACAATTTATTGATTTCACTCTTAAACCTGTCTTCTCTTGCCAATTATTGTTTCAGTGATAAATTCTTCCCATTAACTGTGATTTGCCAAGTGGGCCTACTGTTGTCTTTTTTTTTATTTTCAAAATATTAAGGGGGTACAAATGTTTTTGTTACATGGATAGCTTTTATCATGCTTAAGTCAGGGTATTAGTGTGCCCATCACGTGAATAGTGTTCATTGTATCTGCTGGATAGGTTTTTACCTTTCCCGTTTTTCTCCCTCCAAACTTCTTGATTTCCACTTTTACTTCTCTCTGTGCCCATCTGTGCCTATCAATTATTTCCAAATTATTAGAGAGTAAATGTGGTATTTTTCCATTCCTGAGATATTTCTCCGGTTCCATCCAAACTGCTGCAAAAGAGATTAATTCATCTCTTTTTATGGCTGAGTAGTACTCTGTAGTATATATATATATATATATATACACACCACATTTTATTAATCCACTCATGTATTGATGGGCACTTAGGTTGATTTCACATCTTTGCAGTTGTGAATTGTGCTGCAATAAACATTCGAGTACAGATATCTTTTTGATAAAATGACTTCTTTTCCTTTGGGTTGATACTAATACTGGGATTGCTGGGTCAAATGGTAAGTCTATATTTATTTCTTTGAGGAATCGCCATACTGTTTTCTATACAGGTTGTACAAATTTCAAGTCCTACCAACAGTGTACAAGTGTTCCTTTCTCTCTGCATCCACACAAGCATCTACTGTTTTTTGACTTTTCAATAATAGCCATTCTGACAGGCGTAAGGTGATATCTCATTGTGATTTTAATTTGTATTTCCCTGATGATTAGTGATGTTGAGCATTTTTTAATAAGTTTGTTGGCCATTTTTCTATCTTCTTTGAAAAACTTCTGTTCATGTCTTTTGCTCACTTTTTAATGGGGTTGTTTGTTCTGTTCTTGCTGATTTCTTTGTAAATTATGCATATCAGCCCTTTATCAGATGTGTAGTTTGTGAATATTTTCTCCCATTCTTTAGGTCATCTATTTGCTCTGTTGATCATTTCCTTTGCTTTGCAGAAGCTTTTTGATTTCATCAAGTGACATACTGCTTTTTTGTATCAGAATTAGATCTACTCTTACAATTTGAAATATCCAGAAAACATGTGCAGCTCACCAGACAGCCCCAGGTTCTCATTACATCTATTTCCAAATCTCTCATCCCACCTGTCTTCTGAAGTCTGGTAATTCCTTAACAAGAGACATCTAAATGGAGGTTTGCTTTTCCATGTATGTCTTTTTAGCCTTTTCCAGTAACACTAACAGCATCATTTGCCTGAAAATGGTTAATATCTACACATCCAACTAGCCCTGCCACTCATCCACCCATTCTTGCAGCACGAGGCCACACTCCCTTGTCCTCTGGATTAGATACAAATACTGCCTGTTGCCACTAACCTCATCTCCAGTCTCACTATCCCCCACAACCTCCTGGAAGTAGATCTGCACACCCATGCAATTTGAACATCACTTCCGACATGCCACCTTGCTTTTCACAACTGCAGTGACTACTGCTCAGCTAGCGTCTTTTCTTGGTTCATTTGAGACGCAGCCATGTCAGCAATTCCTCTGTAGCCACGAAACATCTCTCACCTGTTCCCAAACATCTGAAACCCAGTACAGACATCTCTCTGCCAAACATTTTCTTTTAAAATTTATTTTAATATTGCCCATAAATTAAGGCATTAGGTTAATCTAGCCTAAATAAATATTAGTCTTTCCCTAAAACCAACTATTTGTATTACTCAATAATTTATTCTAAAACTCTCTATTCTATAGATATGTGTTCCTTTCTTAATTATTACAGCAATATACCCATATGAACATATGTGTACATGTGAACTCTCATAAATACATTTGTTTTATTTTGATATTATCACAAAATATACAAGTAGCTATTAGATAAGAGCACAGGAGGACCTAACACATCTGCTATTACTTCTTAAAGTCTAAAAGTCAAGACTCTAAGAAAAGATTATGAACTAAAAGAAAATTAATTTCCTTTTCTTCAAATGCTGTTGGCATTTTGATGCCAAATTCCTTGCTGAAATTTTTTCATTTGCCAACTACACATTTTTTGAAATAATATATCTGTGATTGGAATAAGTAGACAATCCAAATTATCTATATAAACATTCATAAAGGTCAGAGCATATGAGCCACTGCGAAGGTTTTTGCTCTCTGTACAGTATGAATTTATAGATATGTATATATCTGAAAAATGGTTCTTAGAAAAGTTAAGGTGTATACATTGAGCTACATCAATATTAATATATAAAACTCTTGTTTCTTTTAAGAAAAGGAGAAAATGTTGAAGATGACAACACCACCAGCAGCAGCAAACCTAAGTTTCAGCTTCCATAAAATATACGGCTGCCTATTAGAAAGCAAAAACCTCCAGGTGTAAATATTTTATTCAAGCTTGCCAAAGATCAGCTTGGGTTTTATTGCTCTGTGCAATTTCTGAATTAAGTGACTTCACTGTGAGTGGGACGTTTTTATGTAACACATTACATCATAAATTAACCCTAACAACATTACAGCTTCAGCTTGCACAGGCAGCTGCTTTATCAGAGGATGTGGGAAGCATGCGAAAAGGCTGAACACTGAGGTGCTGGGGAGCCACCAGTGCTCACCAGCAGATAAACAGCACAATGAGCTGGCAGGATCACAAGCCTGAAGGCACATTCTTCCCTAGATTCTGATTTGTTATCAGAGTTTCAGCGGAAAACACACACAGGAGGATAGCAGCAAAGGAAGCGTGCGGCCAGTGTGTCCAAGCCATTGCACCATCCTGAGCTTGCTTGTCCACTGAGTCACCCACCTCATAGCCTTTCTCCAGCAAGAACTCGGCCAAGTATGAACCATCCTGGGAAAAGGAAAAAAAATGAAAAACGTCAGTCCCATCGTGACAGGTATAGAAAGGTGGCCTAGACTGAGAGTTTTAAGAAAAGCATTTAAAAGGCTTCATGAACTTATATTAAGGATCATGCCAACCAAAATAAAAATAATACCAATAATGTCAATAAACACCACATGAAGTTCCACTAACACACAAAGCATTTTCACAAACAGCATATCATTTGAGCTCACTGAAGACAGAGGAAGAAACTGAAATCCAGGGAAGTAATATGTGGCAACAGAGAGAACATGAAGCTCCACAATCAGGTGGCTTTGGGTTTAGGTTTTGCCAGTTACTAGCTGCAAACTATGCAAAATATGTGGGCAAAAACCAGAATGCCTTGGTGCTATAGGAACATAAAACAGAAGTCTTACTAATTCTGGGGGGCGGGGTGAGGTTGTAAAAAAGGAATCACTGGGGAAGGGAAAAGATGGGAGCCAGAAGGGATTGGGGAGAGGAAGGGCAAATGTGAAGAGGAGGTGATGGCACTCCATGGTGGAGTGAGGAGGGCCAGGGGACAGTGGAGGAAGGTAAGCACCTTTGGGGGGTTGGCCTCTAGGCACTGGCAGGCGGTGGATGCTAAACCAAGGGTTTTAGAAAGTCATGGACAGCTTTAAAGGGTTTTGAGGCCAGGGCTGGGGGCAATGATCAGATTTGTATTATTATCACCGTATATGTACACACATACACATACGGAATTTTTAAAAAAGAGGATAGTAATTTTCATAAAATAATAAATACTTCATTTTTATTAATCTTAAATCACGTAGTTAATAACTTAACATGAAGATACCTAACTAAATATAGAGATTCTCAACTGAATTTTAATAACCCTTTTAAAATTTTCTGGTGAGGGTCTTTATTTAAACTATTTCATGTTCCATTTTTAGGGAAAGAAAGTGGGAGAGACATCTAATTAAACTTTTAAGAGGTAAAAGTTGAGAAATCACCATTCTATAGGTACTATAAATAGTCGCCAGCCTCTCTCAGAAAATGAAGTGGGTAGAGGTTTTGCAATCAATCCTATAATTGCTCTTCAGCTTTTAGCCCAGGTGAGAGGTCCCCCTCCATCTCATCTGGACTTAAAAATGGAAATTTGTGTCCTCAAAAGCAGTTGTGGATATTTGAGTTTTCTTTAGTTTCTTAAGTTCGAATAAGCTTAAAATCTCCCTTTGAGCTTAAAAAGTTCCTACTGGATATTCCAGGAAAAAAAAAAATTGAAGCAAGCCTTATTATCTTTACTTAACTGAAAGCTGGAATTGGAGACACCCTATGGGTCCTGAAAATGACAGGGCTGCCAAGTGAGTGTTTACTACATTAATGCAGAAGCCATGCATAAATTCAGGCAGAATGACAAGGCAAAGCATACAAGGGACACATTCTGTGGTTCATTAAAACCTCCAGCAGATTTTCTTCTAACTTTTTAACATAAATATTCTGGTTTATAGACTAATGTGGAGAAGATAAATTGTTTGTCATATTCCTTTTTACCCTATCCTTACAATTTTCACAGTTTTTACATATCTAATACGAAAACTAAGTCAGATAATGAGACTGACCAATTCAGGCCAGCACAAGCCACGTTTGTCTCCAAGACCACTGGCAATGTTAGAATAATCAGTAGCCCTATAACTCAATCAATGAGAAAACAGCTTAACAGAAAAGTATCTGCAATATGAATGATAATTTGAAAGTAGGTTGAAAGTATGAAGTTTTAATGTTGTTTTGAAGCAGGCAACACTATACTATTTATGTTTTATAATTGTCTTGGGATAAAAGTTACAATGCTTTGTCCTCTGCTGCAGTTGCATGAAATGTTTAAAAAAAAAAAAAAAAGGCGGAGGTAAACGTGCTAAAGATCCCTGGGGTGGGGAGAGCTGTGATTATTTAGAAAGCTGATGTGAAACAGACCTGACCAGGACTGAACCCTGTCAATAAGGTCTTGTTCTTCTCACCCAGGCCACTTCTCAAACTTTCCAACCACACTGGAACATTCTGAACCAGCAGTGGCACCCGCTTCCTCCTTGCTTCCTTGCCAAGCCTCTCAAGTGATAGCGCCCGGGCTGCACAATGAGTGGGAAACAAGCCCAGTAAGTGAGGGCTCCTGGTCTCCAGCACTGGGGGCCCAGCTGGCCTCCCCCTCATCCTCTTCCCAGGTCCCTGGGGGATTCCAGGGGAGACATGGTATCTGAGCAGGCAGAAGTCCACCAAGACACTGGGATGGTTGTTTCTGCCTCCTCTTGAAGCACAGGGCTGATAGAGAATGGTCCAATCAGACTAAACTGTCACAGCTACTGAGAACCTGCAACTAACATTAAGTTCTGACACTTGACTCTTATGAAAACAAGGAACGAATAAACTAAATCTCCAACTTGTTCACTATGAACACAATTAATCTGGAATAAATTCCTGCCTGGGCTCAATCCTTGTTACAGAAAACTTTTTAATTAGAAAAATAATGTTGGCCTGGCGTGGTGGCTCACACCTGTAATCCTAGCACTCTGGGAGGCCGAGGCGGGCGGATCATTTGAGCTCAGGAGTTCCAGACCAGCCTGAGCAAGAGCAAGACCCCGTCTCTACTAATAAAAGAAAGAAATTAGCTGGACAACTAAAAGTATATATACAAAAAATTAGCTGGGCATAGTGCCTGTAGTCCTATGCCTGTAGTCCCAGCTACTTGGGAGGCTGAGGCAGTAGGATTGCTTGAGCCCAGGAGTTTGAGGTTGCTGTGAGCTAGGCTGACGCCACAGTACTCTAGCCCAGGCAACAGAGTGAGACTTTGTCTCAAAAAAAAAAAAAAAAAAAAGATAATGTCCCAATGTGACCTTTTAAAATTTAATTTTATACTTGGTTATTAAGGGTATCCATTTCATATTAAATGCCATATAGTTTTAAGCAATCACTATGGCATTTTTAAGACATCAAAATATTTTCTATCCTACTCTTACAAGAACTCAGCTAGAAGTTAAGCAGCCATTTGGCATCACAGGTAACTAAAACGTGGAGAGATTACTTGAATTGCCTAATATCACACTAGTTACAGACAAAGCCAGGACTAGAATCCAAGGCTTCCATCATGTTGAAATAGGAAATAATCTCCTTCCTCACCCTCCTCTACCTGGGACCTACCAAAACAAATCAAAACCCAACAAAATAATCAAAGACCATAAAAGATTCATTTTCAAACCAAATTGATTTAGTCATTTTCCATCACGGGGTGTTTTATGGATTAAACAGTGCTTCCAGTTGTAACCAAGTGACCCAAATGCAAAAAAGTCATGTAATTTTAGAATGCTCAGAGGAGGGAGAAAGGATATAGTGCCTGAGATTTTCCCAGGTCTCAGTTTAGGCACTTGCAGCACTGCCCATGAAGTGGTTCAGTGTTGTCTGGAGGTAAATTTGCATTGGTGGTAGTTACACATTGCCTTTGAGGCTGAAAGGGCAGGGTTCAAAAGGCCCAGGTTTCAGTGTTCCTGATGCCCATCCTGTTCTTTAGAGGGGTGGGCCCTCACTTTCCACGGAGTACTGAGAAATGTTCCAGATAGTCACATAAAAACTAAGAGTAATTTCAGAAATTAATAGAATCACATTTTAACTATAGTATGAAAACTAAAATTCCACAACTGAAGGGAACACAGAAAGTTTCCCCCTTCTTTTGTCAGCCGACCCTCACATCCACAAACACACTGTACAAATATAAATGTGCCAGGGCACGCCATCCTCCTGCAGTAGAGAGAGACGAGTATTTCTTTTCTCTCTTCCAACATGGATCCATGTATAGCCCAGACAGGCAAATAAATGAAAAGGGAATCTTCTTATGTGCAATTTGAGAAGCTGGCCCCTCTGAACTGCAGGCAAAATCATACTGCATGTTTCTGCTTAAGCACCCTTTGGCAGCTTCTTTGAACAGGATAAGGTAAGTAGTATTAGGCTAAAGAGACCTTGTCACTAACAGAATGAATGTCTTTGTTTAGATCATCTCAAGAAACAGGAAGTAGAATACCTCTTCTATAAGAAGAGAAAGTGCTCATTTGCATTGCCTTTATGCTCTTTAACTCTATGTATTCTAATTACTTTTTTAAAAAAGCATCTTTCCAGCTAATCACAAGTACAATATCAAAGTAATCTGAACCTCCAATAAGAGAAATAAAAACACCTCAATGATTAATAGAGAATGCTGTTTTGAATCAGAATGAAAACTTCCATGATTTAATCACTGTGAAGAATCCAGAGGCAGAATACATTTAAAAAGTATTTACATCCAGCTCATGTTTCTTACAGAAATCATTGAATAAAATCTGTCAGACTCACAGAATTCAAAAGACCATGGGGATAAATTAATCCAACTCTCTCATTTTACAGATCAGGAAATTGAGATTCAAAACAGGTAAATGTTTAGTGTACAGTCACAGGAAGTAGCATAACCTACACCAAAAAAATAAAAACAGGCCGGGCGCTGTGGCTCACGCCTGTAATCCTAGCTCTTGGGAGGCCGAGGCGGGCGGATTGCTCAAGGTCAGGAGTTCAAAACCAGCCTGAGCAAGAGCGAGACCCCGTCTCTACTACAAATAGAAAGAAATTAATTGGCCAACTGATATATATACAAAAAATTAGCCGGGCATGGTGGCGCATGCCTGTAGTCCCAGCTACCTGGGAGGCTGAGGCAGAAGGATCACTCGAGCCCAGGAGTTTGAGGTTGCTGTGAGCTAGGCTGACGCCACGGCACTCACTCTAGCCTGGGCAACAAAGCGAGACTCTGTCTCAAAAAAAAATAAAATAAAATAAAATAAAAATAAAAACAAAAACCAGTTCTCTGGACTCTAGACCTCATAATTTTACACTAAAAAATACTGAGCATACATCTAAAATGCAGAGATTGGACTAATGACTATGGTTGAAAACAAAGGAAAACACACTAATGCCTTACCAGAGTGAAGAAAAAGAGCAGAGCCAATAATTATCAATCAAACAATAATTAACTGATTGGTAGAGAGGAAATGAGGACACCAACACTATTTAAAACATATAAATAAGTCCCATCTCCTATAGTCTTTAAAGTTTAAAAGTACTTCCCCATAAAAGCCGCTATCATCAAAGAACTGACTTTCACTTCCTTTGATTTACCTCCTGCTAGAGAGGAGCACAGCAATCCAGAAATGTAATCAACAACCTGTGAATAATAAAGAATTGATTGTGCCCAGCAGCTAAAATAATCTACCCAACCATCCCTTCCTTCTTTCTTTTCAAGGAAAAGAGCTTCCAAGCAGGTGCTCAGAGGTTACACATATACCTCACACACATTAAGAAGCAAGAATGGCCCTGCAGCCAGACACAACACCTTCCAGGAATGAGGGATGAGTGTGAGGTTAATTCAGGTATCCATGCTTTAGAAAGATGCCAGATACTTTCCATCATGCTATCTATTAATATACCATGACACAGAATTCTCTGCCCTAAACATACTCAGTTTCACGAGGTTACAATGTTAAGTTTTAGGTCCAAGGTCAGTTTAAAAAGAAAAAAATACTTACACATTTAAAAAAAAAAATCAAAGAGGGAAGAAATGACCTTAAAGATTAATTTTTACAATTTTTTTTTCCAATTTGAGAGGTTTAAAAATTAACTTTCTTTTTTCATTTTTTCTGTCTCTCTTTTTTCTTCTTAGCCTTCACGGAACATTAAAGAATCTTTCTTCATTTTTTGACTAGTATTAAAACTGAAGAGTATTTGGTGATTGTAACTTTATATATTACTTCTTCAGGGAATTATATATACTTTAACTACTTTTTTACTAGGCTGTGTTTTGCCAATTCTTTTGTTTTCGTCACATGTATAAAATTGACAAATTTTCTTCTCCAATAAAGCAACTCAAAAGCTGATCCTTCAAAGCGAGTCAGCAGATTTTCAGTTCCTTTCATGTTGCAAATGATTATTTTAAACCCTCAGTTCAACAAAAAACAATGTAAATATCAAAATGTAAACTCCAGGCATATTTGTACAACCTAGTATTTGTAATGACATTTACTTCAACATATTAAAATAAATTTCTATAATTTAGGCAAATGCTATAAGGAAAAGGGGACTAAACGGTTTAAAACAAGCAGTTGGAAAGGAAGTAGTTGTTGATAAGGTATAGAAATATAATTTTTAATTAGTAGAAAGACAATACATATAGATACTTAGTCCTAGAAATGTTTGAAAAGCCTCAAAAGTACAACGATCCCTGACTTACAAATGGTTTCACTTATGATTTTTCACCTTTATGATGGTGCAAAAGCAATACATATCCAGTATGTTCCTTGACTAACAATGGAGCTACATCCTGATAAAGCCATCATAAATTGAAAATATTGTAAATCAAAAACGTACTTTTGACTTTAGCTTAACAAAGGGTTTATCAAGACATAACCCCATCGTTAGTTGAGAAGCATCTGTAAATCTAAAGGCACTTATTAACAGCTTATGTGTGTGCTGAGTGGTACATAATGTAGATACGTCAAAGGTAAGTCCACCTGTTCACTTCCACATGAATAAAAGTATGCCTAATGAATACTGTATCCCACTGGTTTTCTTTTTTTTATTGTAAGTTTCTTTAAACTATTTTTCTCTCTTCGTCTCTCCCATTCTTACCACTGATGCTGAAGCTTTTATCCCTTAGAAAAAAAATCCTAATGTGACCTTCTATTACTACAAATGATGATGCTTATAGTAAGAATAGTGTGCACTTGCATACTTACTATATGCCAGACATGCTCTAAGTGTTCTACATTCATTAACTTTTTAAATCTTCAGGATAACCCCACATAGTTGGCACTGTTATTGCCTCCATTTTACAAATGAAACTGAGGAGAATTGAGACTAAGTAACCTGCTCAAGGTCTAATAGTAGGTAGAACATGAATTTAAACTTTGTATATTTGTAATGAATTATTTGTATGGCAATTTGCTTCACTAAAAGGATCAATGACTCCATAATCATGGGCACAGAGATATTGTAATATAAAATTTAGTTTCCACAGAATTATAAACAATGGAAAATGAGCCAGATTAGTGGATATCCAACACCCCCTTGGGCCATAGGTGTTACAGAACAGTGGAGCAGGAAGGAAATAAGAGATTTAGTCCCTGCCCTATTGCTCTGAGAAGTATCTGGGAAGCCAGGCATTTCCTGGCCTAGATAGGATTGTGCTTCAACACTGGCTAGGACCTCCAGATTTCACATACATCAACACACCCACATGTGGACAGGATGAGAATAATAACCAGGTAACCTATGGAGCTAATCAAAATGTCCTGCTATCAGTGAACAACAGTAGATGCATGAGTCATGGACAGAAGGTGGCAAGGCTTTGTGAATCAAAGAAAAGCTATGAAATACTACCACAACGACCTCTTCTATACTGGATGGCACAGTGCCCTGGAGAAATAAATCACCACACTTGAGCATGAAATCAAGGTTGGGAAAAACAGACGAAATACAAGAAGCATATCCCTGTCAAA